ATGCCGTACATAGTAATTTTTGATATAAAATTTTCTCCGTCTAATTATTTATATAAAATTTTTATTTTAGTTTCAAATATTAAAAATAATTTTTCGATAAATATTTTAAATTTAAAATTTTCAAATGGGATAAATAATTATTAAATTACAAAAATCAAAGCAAAAGAAAGTTATTAAGAACCCGAGCTGAATTTGATTGTTTGAATTTCTACTATATATTCACATATGTGTACATACGTTTCGGCTCATTGGTTTTGGCCTTCATGTGTACAAATACAAACTATAAAAACATACCATCAACAATAACGCACGCACGCAAATCGCAAAAGAAGAATGTTTTCTTAACAGAAACAGAATAAATAATTATTTCGCGTGACAATTTTAAGATAATTATTTTAAATTCAAAATTTTTGAATGGAATAAATAATTATTCCCCTTGAAACTTTTAATTAGGATAAATATTTTTAATTAAAAATTTTTGGACGGAATAAATATTAATTGTCCCGTTTGTAAATTTTGATTTTATAAAATGCTCTTTTGCGAAGTATCAATCAAGATAAATCAAAATAAAATTCAACAATTTGTACTTACTTATATTAATATTTATTATATTTTTAATAAATTTGTTCCAAGCAATTAAAGTTGTTAACAACGTCAGATATCTGTCAACGATTTCATTTTTGTTTGCAGATGCATCGGCCGCAGATCATCGTCAAGGACGGAAATCTCTGCAGACAGAATCTCCATCATCGAAAGCCAAACGTGAGCAGATGCTACGCAACATCCTCGCTGCCAGGAGGCGACAGATCCTGAGCCAACGTTCGCACGATCCACCTCGGCTTCTTTCGAGTCGTACGCCGCGACCTGGTGACACCACCTCGAAAGATCCTCTGGACATTCTTGAGAGCCAAGAGACCAGGCACAACATTTATGTCACTAGTGCGCGAACGGAATCGTTAATAAAAGAAGAAACTTCGCAATCGTCGAGGAAATCTGTCGAAAAAGTCGCATCGATCGACCTCGATTCGACGGAATTAGAGATCAAACTGCAAACTCCAAAGTCGCCTAAGGAAGAAACTCCGTCGACGTCGGAGAAGTACGAAAGTTTCTCTTCTATGTCCTCGTCTTTGATCGCTCCAATACTAACTATGTCTACGAATCAAAAATCGGGGGACGCGGAAACGCGCAAGAAGAACACCGTCTCGATGCCGGAGTCGTTGTACAATCATTTCCGGCCGGTGGAGAGCAACATTCCGGTGGAGGATATGTCGCAGTTCTTATACTTCGGCCAGAAGCTCCAGCCGGATGCGCAGAACGTCACCAGCAGCGGCAGCAACAACAATTCCGTAGAAACGACATCGACGGTGCCGACTTCCTCGCGCAGGAGATATTCCACGAAGCGATTCAGCGCGACGATAGCCGCGCCGATGGAGGAGATCGTGAACGACGAGATGAACATTGCGCTGGAACGCCGGACGGTCGAGAAGAATCAAGTGTTGAGGATCAAGAACACGTTCAGGAGCTCGGGTAGCGGTCTGTACTCCCGGAAGTCGCGACCTACAGCGGACGTCGTGTCCAACATCATTCCGGGCAACGAGTCGAGCCTGGTCGGCAGCGGCAGCGAGATGAACGCGGTGGACGACAAATTCCGCCGTGACGACCCGTCCGCTCACGCGGATACCAAGACGCGAGAGGGAGGAACCGCTACCCACGTCGTCGAAGCGGGCACAACGACCCAGATACCGCGGCAGCGCGATGACGAGGCTGAAACGAGCGTTGCGGAGAGTGAAATCAGCGTGAAATTCACGAACGAGACCGTCGCAGCCTCAAACGGGGTCGCCGAAAATCTAAAAACAAACGATTTCGAGAAAGACGACGAGAAGGAGGTCACCACAGTGAAGGCGGAAGCGAAGAAGGCGGAAGAAACGGAGGGCATGCTAACGGCTGTCGAGAAGACAACTTCGACGTCGCCGAAATCCAAGTCTCGCGAGAGCGTCGAGACGTCGCGGGCGGCGGAGTCGTCGACGCTGCGAATCGTGGTGCCGGACGACAGTCTCGCGAGCTTCGCGATTGAGAACGAGCGGACGCATCGGAATACCGTTAAGCAGCAGCCGGTCGAAGATCCTGTCGCGGATCGACCGGTTCGCGTGTCAGCCGGCGACGATGTCGCCCCGAAATCACTGCCGCTGTCGGCAGCGTCGTCATCGGCGACGAAGGAGCCATCCGTACCTGTTGCCGCCGTTGACTCGGATCAACAGCAGCAGCAGCCGCCGCCGCAACAGCAACAGCAGCATCCGCAGCAACACGTGTACGCTTACACGATAACGAACGTGACGCGATTGTTGCGCAACTACACCGGACCTGGGTTAAGCGACGAGGAAGGGCGAGGAGGAGGAGGAGGAGGTGGAGGAGGAGGAGGAGGAGGAAGAGGAGATGGTGCTGCTGGTAGCGGTGCCGAGATAACGAGCGTTGGACCGTCGCGGCAGCAGCAGCAGGAGCGACCGCCGCCGCCGCCGCAGTCTTCTCCTCTTCTGCTTCCTCGTGCCAGTATAGAGCCGGCGCGAGCGTCGGCGGGACTCAGTGCCGGCGCGACCGTCGAGCCAGCCGCAGCTGCTGGAACGTCGTCCAGTGCTGTTGTCGGCGGCCTGGTGGGGGAACGACCGAGGAAAGTCGTCCCGCAGCAGCAGCAGCAGCAACAACGCGCGACCAGCCAACGGCCGATCGCGACCTGGTCCACACCGCAGCCGACCGCGACAGCGGAAGACGATAACGCTACTTTGCCGACGAGGTCCGTCAAATTGCCGGAGACCGGAAGCAGGGGATCGGTCAGGTGGAACCACACGAAATCGCAGACCAGCGAGCAGGAGGGTGCTGACGATCGCAGGTTCCTCAGGAAGAGCGCGAGCGCGGTGCTGAATCAGAGATCAAACGTCAACGACGAACCCTCGTCTCTGGCGACGAATAAACGTCGCAGGGTGCTGGCTTCTCATAGCGGGCTGTCGTCTTCCAATTCTAATAGCAGGAGGGTGAAGTCCGGCGATCGAGAGAAAGTCGACGGTGCTAAGGACAAATTAGTAGCGAACGATCGATCATCGAACGGGACGGTCGCGAGACGCGGGAAAGGCGTGGACGACGATGAAGTGCCGAGCATCGGTTCTCTTCGGGAAGTCGCGCGTGCCAGCGGGGTGAACGAAGTGCCGGGTGACAGCAGTCCGTCGGAGACCAACGTCATGGGGAATTTGAATCGAAATTCGAGCGCGATCGACGAGACGATAGACGCGACCGATCCGTCGATTGCCGTCGATGCGGCGATGACAACCGACGCGGAGAAGTCCGACGTTCTTGCGGAAAAGATGATTACCGCGCCGAGTGTGAACGATTGGGACAATATTGAAGGCGATGCTGAAGATGCTCAAGGTCTCGTGATGTCGGGCAAAACGAGTGACGCGAATGCGACGGCAGATAGCGTCGTCGCGACGACCGTGACAGTGACCGAGCGGGTCGACGAAACAGTCGCGACGACAATTACGACAACAACAACGACGACAACGACGACGCCAACGCCGACACCGCCGGCGCCAGTTTTCCCGGTCACGCCTCGAATATTGACAGAAGTGGAAAAAGCTGCCGTCGCTCCGGAAACTTTCACTTCGAGGCCGTCGGACGCCGCGAAGGCGCCAGAAGTGAGTAATCTGGATCCCTCAGAGATCCAAAAGAGGTACCGAGCTAAGGATGCGACGACAACGACGACGACGACGACGACGACGACGACGACGATTCCACCGATACAGAATAACACTCGTCTTTCGAACGGTACCTTGAACAGAAAACCGGAAATGCCCACTTTGTCGACGTCTACGGTAATGGAGAACGGAAAACGCGTATCCGGCGAAAGATCGCCGGAAGTCCGAGCTCGTAATTTGTCAGACAAATCGAAGGACAAGGACGACGTGCTGCCGATCATGCATCTGTACAACACGTCGGATATTTTCAACGGTAGCGGGCCGATGGACGGGTTCGCCCGCGGCACGGAACAACCGCGGGTGGTGCTTCCGGTGGAAACTGAGTCGCGGAACGAAGAGACTCCTGTGACAACGGCGACAACAACGACGACAACGGAGAAGACGCCTGAGCCGCCAGTAACAATCACCAGCCCGACGGAAATCGGCGCGAGTGCATCGACCACCGTTCCTATTCTCAAAGTCAAGGAACCTACCGCGACACCGAGTTCCCGGAAGGATAAACACGAGGAAAATCGCAACTCTCAGGACACCACTGCCTCTCCGGTGTCCAAAGGATCCTCCTTTGCGCCCGCCGCCAACAGAACGAGGTACAGGCCCGCTTATCACTACTCGATCCCGCCGGAATACAACGGCACAATGTACCACCCCGGCGGGCTCAACAGGACTTTCTTCGAGGCCGACGGGCCCGTCGCGGTGAGCCCGCGGGAGTCGATGAACATCAGTGAGGTGATATCGAAGCGGCACGACGGTGACGTGATTGCCACCCAGGAAACGGTTGCCGTGGTCAGCTACATCCTGGCCACTCTCGTTGTCTTTCCCATCGCCGTCGGCGTCGGGCTCATTCTCAGAAGACTGATACTTAGGAATCGTAAGGTGAGTTCGAGGTTTTCAGGTCGCGCGCGAGCGAGCGACTTTAACTCAGACCGGGATTAGAAAGTATTCGCAAATCGCCGCCGCCGCCGCCGCGCTCTGGACTGATTCGCGCCGCTGCTTGATATTTCGTCTTTCTCTTTCGGAGTTAGCATAGCAATCGAGAACTCGCGGGCACGATCTGATTTCGCTGTTAAATGAAGGGTTTCGATGTGCAAAACGCACATTCCTCAAACGTTTTTCGAAAGCCGAGAATGCGAATTGAGTGGGATGTTTGAAAGAAAAGGTTCAAGAACAAAAATTCAAGTTTATTAAGATTAATAAATAAACATTGAAATTCTTTGATCGATGATTATAAATAAATCAGAAAAACAGTTTTATTTCTTTAAAGAATTTTCTTCCAATATAACTCGTGAAATATTTAATTAGAGAGTAAAATTGCTCTCGAATAATCGGTCGAAATTATCGAACGAGCGAAAGAAACAGCCGAAAAGCGACGAAGAAGTGCAGCGCGTAACTTCATTTTTAATTGACGCACCTCGGAGTGCTGAGGCACAAATCGGCGTTCATACAGTAGTGTACTTATATACCGTTACTGGCACGGCTAGGATTATCATCTCGCATTTATCATACGGTCATTAACCGACAGCATTCGTTATCTCGCGGGCTCCGAACATGAGAATTACGCCAACATTTTGATAATTAGCGTGACAGCACACCGCCGTTGCTGACGACGGCTGAATCGCCATCGTTATGGATCATTAGTCGTCATTAGCCGATATCGTAAAGTACAATCTCAAAGGGCCGCGCTGTTAAAGCTGACTTTAATTCACGGTAAGAAATACGTGTAACGAGCAACGAGATATATATATATATTAAATTTAATAAAGATATATATTTGACCGAATACATCGTTGCGTTTACAATTAACGAAGCATATTCTCACAAATTCCACGCTATATTATCACGGCCGTGACATCGTGAATAAATATCAAACGCGGTCATCGAGTAATTTCTTCGCGAAGGCTGGCTCCGCGATGATTCACGAAATAGTTAACACTCTCCCCCCTGGTCGGCAATTACTACAAGTTCATTGTATGCAGAATAATCTTGGGATCTCGATGATGTCGTTGAGCGAGGAATCATTGACAGAGTGCGCCGAGTGATGAGAAAATAAATGTGCCGTTGGATAATACGAAAATTGTTCGACTCATTGTCTTTCATGATTCTTTTTCCGCGGAATTTTCTTCGCCGACGAGAAGATAGCATCGAAGAACGAAAATCTTCTCATGTCGGAAAATGAGAATATCTGTGTCGGAATGTACTTATTATTAATTACATTTCGTACATTTATAATTTATTTTGCGTATTGTTAGCGAGCTCATATTTTATACGTCTTATTTTTCTCTTTCTTATAACATTTAAAAGAATTACATACTTTTTTTGTAAAAAACTGTTAATATTATTATATTCTTAAATTAAAAAAATTGATTTTTTTATCTTACTGGTGTTTATAACCTTTTGGCGTCAGGATCAAGAGTGGAAAGAACTGTATAGGCTGCAAAATTTCCGGAAATGACATAAGCGAAATTCTTTCACGCCCGAGACATTCATAAATAATAACGCGAACATAAATTTAAATTTAACCCGACAGTCATGGAAATAAATCTGAATGGCGGTACAAAGGTTCGCGTGGACGGTAAAAAAAAAGGAGTATACAAATGGAGGAAGGGAAGAGGGACGGGTACAAGGGCCAAATAAATAGGCGGGCCCGCTTTCGGGATACGCTCGCAGCCTGACGCTAAATTCGGGCGCTGTGTTCGAGATTGAAATTTTACGTTGACGGGCAAACTGATCCGCTTGCCAACGATTCTCATATAACACAAGCGATTCTTCGCTGTAAGTGTTTTTCTTCGAAACTTGTGCATGATATTGCGTCGTGCAAATATAGCAGTAAAAACATCGCGGGGTTTTATTTCGTTTCGTATCGAATGCGCTTTCGAAGCGATTTTGCTTCTTGGTAATAAATCAGACTCGTGTAATCACACGCGTTATGCTTCCGATAATTCTCGAGCGATATCGACGAATAGCGTCACGAAGCGAGCAATAATAATTTAAATGAACAATGTTCAGTATTCGCGTCAGCTATTTGCAATTTCTGATATTAATCGAGACAA